CAGCCAGGCTACACAGAGGAACCTTGTCTCAAAAATAGAAAAAAAAAAAACAAAGAGGACAGGTAGATGGCAAGTCAGGTCTCTTCAGGCTGATTGTTGGTTTTACACAATGGGAGGCTGGGTTCTTTGTGGGTTAAGTTCACCCCAGGCCTGTGCCTGGACCCTTCACATCCCCAACTTGTTTCAATTCACCTTGGAGCAGGGTGTCTCTCACTATAGTAAATGTATTCCTAACCCCTATGTGGTCTTTGAGAAAGCCAGACTACTGTGGCTGACATCGGTGTGGCGACCTCCTGGATTTGTGGCCTGCTGGCCACTTCCCACCACAAACCAGCTTGAACGCCCCATAGAAAGAGGCCTGAGTCACAGGGTCCAGGATGATGCTCAGTGTGGCCATGAGGTACTTTCCAAAAAACAGTTAGAGGAAGGGCCCGTGCAAAGTCATTCTCATGGGACAACAGACCATTTAGTGTGACCCTCACCATCAACAGAGGCCCACGGCCACTGCTTTCCTGAAGTCACCTGGGGCCAGGAGCTGGCTGGGTGACACACGTTGCCTGCTGACCATGAGAACATACCTCAACCGTGGTGGGTTATCTGACAGCCTGGAGACATGCCTCCCTGCCTCCTCAACTCCTTCCCAGCTACCACCGTCCAAACACCTTCTAGGCTTGGTCTCTGTCCTCCTGACATGACCTGGAACTCTGTACCAGGCTGGCCTTGAACTTGCAACAGTCTTCCTACCTCAGCCTCCCAAGCCCTAGGATTGTAGAAGAACAATACCTGAATCAGTTAAACTATGAATTGTGCTCCTGCTCCCAAGCTAAAGTCTGACCTTTGCCACATACTGAGCTCTGCAACTGCTCATACTCTGAGCCCTGATCTTGATTATGCCCTGAGTCCTAAGCCTGGTCACATAGTGAGAGCCTTGCTCTTATTTGCACACTGAGCCTTGGTCATGCTCATATACAGAGCCTTGGTCCTGACCACACACTAAGCTCCTGTCTGGATAATATTCTAGTCCCTGATCTTGCTTACGCTCTGTCTTGACACTTTTCAAACATTCATCTCTGATTGTACACTGAGCCTCGATCCCTGTCACAGCATGAGTCTTGATCCTGATCATGCAATGAACACCGTTCACAGGTTGAGCTCTGGCCTTCCACATTGCCCCTCGAGGTCACCAAGACAGAGGGGTCTCTTATTTAATCTCTTTCCGTTGAGCCAATTGAGGCTCTACAGCTGGAAATTGAGCCCTGGTGTTAGACTTCCTTCCATCAGGACCTCATGGAAGAGAAGGGAAGTGAGGAGAAGAGAGAAGAGAAGAAAAAGAGGCTGGCTCACCTGGAAAGAGAATTAGGACTCCCTGATGACACACAGGTTGGCTGTCCTGGGGCTACTTGTCCATGAAGCTAGGGACAGAAAAGGTCCCTGACTGGTAACTGTGGGGAGACTAAATAGAGTTAGTGCTGCTGATAGAGCCAAACTCCCGAGAGACATCCAGAGAGGTAAGTGGCTCTGGGAGCCCTCAGGATAGAACAGGCCTTATTGGGGGACAACCCGTAGCTCTCCCTGTAAGCAAGGCTTTGTGTCCCGGTGAAAGATGATGGAGCAGCTCCTCTCCTCCAGGGCTTGTTCCCCTCCTCCGTAAAATGTGACCAATGGGGGTGGACAGCAAAGAGCATGCATTGTCCTTTCAGAGGACCCAAGTTCAAGTCCCCAGCATCCATAACAGACAACTCACAACTACATGGAACTCCAGCTCCAGGGCATCCAACACCTTGCCCTGTCCTCTGAGAACACCTGCATCTATGTGCACATTCCTCCCCCACAGACAGACAGACAGACACACACACACACACAATTTAAACATAAAATAACTCCTTAAAACCCGAGAGACAGTCAAATCCCCAGACAATTCTAGAAACCTTGGAGCTCTGTACACCTCAGAGTCTGGTGTAGAGCCTAGAAAGACAGCAAGACGTACACAAGGCCCATTGTAGGCCTCTGTCAAATCCACTGTGGTCCTCAGCAAGCTGTGGCCATAACCCAAAGTGAGAGGGTCACTCTGAGGACCCTCAGCTCTGGCAGGTCAGATGCTGGGCAAGGCGTTAATCCAGCTTCATTACCTCTTTACTCCACTGCTGTTTGGATTCAGGATGCTGGACATGGAGTCTGACCTGCAACCCCTACCAGGCTCACCTTGTTTGACTGTGCATCAACTGGGAGGGGAGGGGTGGCCCCTCCCAGTCACTTGGCTCTGAGTCAATCCCTTGCCTACCAGTCAATCCCAGGGATTTGTTACCAGCCTTCCAGAAAGTGACCATCCTGGCCAGCAGCATCCCTTTTCCCATTCCCACCATGCCCCCCTAGTACCCCTCAAGGGTGATGCCAGGGCAATGCACAGCATCCCCGCTCTGAACATATAGCAAGGCAGTGAGGTCCAGAGAGCAGCTCCAGCTGTACCATGGACCCAATGTGCCGTCCCACACAGACTCAGCTGTCCTGGTCCCACGGGAGCATCAGAGGCCAGACAGGTCGGAAATAGAAAGCAGATCCAGGCCCTGCGGGGGATCTGGCCAACTCCTGATTCTGGTTGAGTTCGGCCAAGGGAGCTGAAGCCCAGCCAACTCAGAGTGGTACATGGGCCCCAGAACCAGTCTGCTGGAAGAGACAGAAGCCCACACTTTGCTCAGGTACCAGGCCTGGAGCTGTTCCTGGAGCTTCTATGAAGAAAGCTCACTGGGCTTTGGCTCCGTATGTGACTGGCAGTTTGACGGAACAGACAGACTCCAGGCCTGGCTCTCCTCTTCCTAACTATGTACCCTTGGACAGGCGACTTTACCTCTGCTATTTATCCTCCCTGAGAATAGAACCCAGCAGCCCTTCAGAAGGCTTGAAGCTTGAGGCCCAGCAGCTGGCCCATGCCGGACTGACACCACTGTGGGTGCCTCGTTCTGCATTTCTTTGTTGTTTGGTGAGACAGAGTTTCTCTGCATATCCCTGCTGTCTTAAAACTCACTCTGTAGACCGGGCTGGTCTCGAACTCACAGATATCTGTCTGCCTCTGCCTCCTAAGTACTGGGGTTAAAGGTGTATGCCACCTCCGCCACCTTCATTCTATATTTCTTGCTGAACGATGGACCCTTGGATTAAGTTTTCAGACAGAAAGTCACACCCCAGCAGTGGCTCAGTTGAGTAGAGTCTCCCAACTGCCCCTGTTGGTGTCACGGTACCTCGATACAAGCAAAAGTAGAGAGTGTGTTGCTGTCTCTCAGATTACCTTGCTCAGGACCAGATCACTCTGAGACCCCCTGAAGCCTCCTCAGCCCTTTTGAGGCCCACTTAGCCCCTCGGGGTCAAGGATAGCTAAGTCTCTCCTTCCCTACCTGTAAAGGCTGTGTTTCCCCAGAGACCCACAGTGCCCTTCGGTTCCACACTTGGGAGAACCATCTCCTCGCTCCAGCCTCTCGCTGCTGTTACCCGTGCTCCTGGCCTGTCACCTACGACCCATGCACCTATGTCACCCCTCAAACAAGGTTCAGGAAGCAAGGCAGCAGCTGCCCTGGTCTCTGCAGCCTCAGCACCACCCTTTCCTTCAGATCTATACAACCTGCCAAGTGATAGGACAGGCTCCGCCCAGGAGCTTCCCGGAGGTGGAAGGGCACCAGGGAGGTGAGGACAGCACACCCCTTCCTGTGCTGTCCCAATGTGGAGACACGGCAGGGAAAGGAACAATGGAGCCAGGCTGTACCTGGGCATCCCAGGTATAGAAAGTCCCAGCCACTGGCCAGGATACCCAAGTGTAGGAGAACAAGTGGGCACTGACCTCAAGGGAAGGAGCATGGTTTTCTGGGATCGCCCCTGGCCAGCTGGTGAAATGTGAGCTCCTCCAGCCTCAGGCCCTGTTCTTGCCTGCCAATCAGGCCCTGCCCACAGAAGTGACATTGAGTCCCTACCCCTCAGCCCTGCAGCCTAACAGAAGCCTGAAGGCCTGCCTCCACAACCAGAAGCCAGCGCTGACCTAAGGGAGGCCGTCTGGAAAGACATGAGCTCCTGCACTTCTCTGGGTCTCAGTTTGCCCATATGGGATAGATACAATGAAATCCTGAGAATATAAAGGTGAGTGCGGACTAACCCTGGAACCTTTCATTTCCCAGAGGATCAAAGCCACCACCGTGGCTCTAAGGGCTGCTGAGACTCGGTGTGAAAGTGTGAAAGCTCCCTCCCAGCCCCCATCACACTCTCCGGGTCTCTGCTCTACAGACCTTGACTGTTCAGCTGCCCCTTCCTGGAATGGTTTCCCCTCCCTCTGCCCATCCAAGCAGCCCTGCCCTCATTCCTGTCCTGGGCTTGCTGGATCTGCAACTAGGCACCTGCTTCTTCCTGTAGTCTTTATCACACCCAGTGTGAGCGCTGGGGGCCTTGGACCTCCTGTGCACAGCCCTCCTGGGTCTGCAGTGTAGAAAGACTGCTAAGTGGTTACTCAGGGAAGCATGGTAGTGTGATTGAAATGGATGATAGACACGAGGAGCAGAGGACTAGAGAGAACTCCCTAGCAGAGCAAACAGCCCTCCACAGCCTTAGTCCCAGCGAGGTTCAACCCTTGCCCTGCCCAAAGACCTTCCTCTGCCAGCAGTCTGTGGCTACACCTGCCTGGATGCCCTGAGCCCCAACCTGCCGGGGCAGGACCCACCTTGCAAATCTCTCCTCTCTCAGAGACTGGCCTAGCTGTTCTAAGACAACGCACAGCCTTGGGCCATAAGCCAACCCTGCCCCCCTTCATTCTTCCTGGTCTGAACAGCTGCGGCTCACCCACCCCTCCGTCTAGGGGAGGTGTGGTATTTCTGACCCCCTAGGCTCCTTCTGGCCCCAGCTCCTCTAGACAGCCAGCAGGGGTGGGGAAGGAGACCGCTCCGCCCCCACCCCACCCACCCCTCTGCTTGTGTCCAAAAGCAGCTGGCTGGCCTGACGTCAGGCCCTGGGAAGGCACTGTCCGTTGGTCACAGACCTGGAGTTACAGAGCCCAGGCTCCACGCAGAGGAAGGCACAGCGAGAGCCGGTGAGTTCCCCAGGCATCGCTCCCTCCTGTATCCCCAGGCAGGTAGCACAGCTCAGGGTACCCTCATTATCCAGGCAGGTGACTTAGGGGGAAGAGAGGGGACGGGAAGAGAAGCAGTCCCAGGAAGCAAGCCCACCTCACAGCCCTCGGCCACAGAGGCAATCACCTAGATGGAAAGATTGAGCCCCAGAGGGTCAGGGAGTGGAAACGGCACCCTCCCTGCCACATCAGTGACCCTTGCCCACCTCACCCACTCTGGGTTTCATTCATGAAATTGATCATCCATTTGGTCAGCACTGGGCTTCCCATCTGCTGCTGAGTCCAGAGCCAAAGTTTGGTTTCCTCTCCTGTCAAGGCAGTAATGTGGTCCCTCAGACGAGGTTAGGAAATGAAAAGTGACCCACATTGACTTGATGAGCTCCGGATCCCCAGCCACTAGCACCAGGAGGGGACAAGGCTTGCTGCAGCACCCAGGGGACGACTTCTGTCCTGGATGGAGGCCTTTGCTATAGCCCAGCTCCTTCCTCTTCCCTTTTAGGAGTGGGGAAACTGAGGCCCCTTGCTGGATTTGTCTGCTCAGCCCCACAACACAGCCTCAAAGCTGATGCTTTCCAGCTGGGCTTACCCTGATGTAGCTGCCCTGTGAGAAGGCAGGAGAGCAGGGTCCCGAGGGGGCTGGCTGGCTGGGAACTGGCTGGTGGCCAGAGTGCCTGGCGGGGCAGAGACAGAGCAGCTGGGTAGCCTCAGGCAGGACTGAGACAGAGGCAGTGGCAGGAATGCATAGCCCGCAGGGGTACCTGCCACTGCCCACCTTAATCTGCCCTCCACAGCAGGCCGCCAGGGACTTCCATCCCCCCCAGGGGCTGCCTGGCTGCGTCAGTGCGCAGGTCACCCTGCCAGCACCGTCAGAGTGAAGGAAACCATGCTTTCTCCTGGGAGCCCCCAGGGGACTTCTTCCATCCTACACAAGGTGGTGTGATCTGGGGAGTCTATCAGTAACCCCAGAAGGCCAGGGGGGAAACAGAGGCTCAGAGAGGCCAGGGAGGGTCTCTCTAAATTTTCGTTCTAAATCCCAGGCTGCCCTCTTTATATAGCTTAGGTTGATCTCAAAGTCGCAACAATCCTCCTGCCTCAGTTTCCAGTGCAATGTTAGAAGTATGCACATCAGACCCATTTCCAGCAGGTTTCTGTTTGGAGGGTGGAAAGAGGTGTGTTGATTTGTTTTGTTTGACAGTTCTTGGTTTGGTTGACTGGTTGGTTGGTTGGTTGGTTGGTTGGTTGGTTGGTTGGTTGGTTGATTTTAGTTTTTAAGATAGAATCTCACATAGCTCACGTGAACTCAAAGGCTCACTGTGCTGCTCAGACTGACCTCAAACTCACAGTGATCCCCCTGCTTCTGCCTCTCAAATTCTGGGATTGCAGGTATGTGCTCCCACACCCAACTGCAGGGGGTCTTTCAGAAGCACTCATTTTCATTCTCCACAGCTGTTCTGACATAGGTCACCTAGGCCACACCCTTACTAGTTCCAGTCCAGCCAGATACCACACAAGTAAAAAACAGGGAGGCAGGTGAACATAACTCTGTTGGACCATTGGGCTGCTGCAAAAAGAACAAGCAAAGTTGGGTACTCCAGCAGCACCCCCTGAGGAGGAAGGTGAAGCAAGTCCAAAAAAGTCTGGGTAAGACTCCTTCCATAGATCTAGTCAAAACCAAGGCCACCATGTACCTAGGTTGCTTTGGCTTCTCACAAAGTATTGAGCCACATGAGGGGTTCCTACCTCAGGACTTGGAATGTGTTTGCCCAGCCTCCTCCTTCACTATTCCCTTAGATGGGTCTCCTGGCCCTGATTTCACTCCAGCTGTGAGCTGTATGAGGAAGGACCACCTCAGCCTACATCCCTTAAGCCCCAGTGTTGGAGTTCCACGGGATCCAATGCCTCAAAGTTCCCAGCTGTACCTGCAGCCTGCAGGGTACAATAGGTGGCTGAGCCAGTCCTCCTCTACTCAGCTGGAGGGGAACTGGCACAGGGCAAGCATAGGCGCCTGGCCTGCTGTGCACCCAGCCCGAACAGAGCATATATCCGAGAACTGAAGAGTGCAGAATTTAAACCTAGAACTTCCACCCCTACTGCTGAACCCCAAAATAAACCTCTCCAAGCCCTAGTCTCTTAACAACAAAAACTGGGCCAACAACACCTACTTGGGGTTTCCTTGAGAGGTGGTAGTGAGATCCTTGGAAGTATCCTCATAGGGGTCAAAGATTTATGGGACTATATTGCTCTCTCCCCTGGGAGGGGTGTCCATGGTACCAGGGACTTAAGGGGGCTCAGCAGAGTTGTGTGGGGTAGTAACTGTGAGTCCCAAGGTCACCAGGTACCTCAGGCACAGGGAAGAGAATATGTAAAGACTCTACCAGGCAACCCAGGTGTAAAAAACAGCACGCCTGGGGTGGAGAACAGCAGGTACAGAGACCGCGCGTGCCAGGCTAAAGGTCTAAACTCCGAAGAAGTAAGCAGCTGCCCCATTGGCACTTCCCAGCAGCCCTAGAAAGGCTGAATTGACAAAGTAGGGTATCAGAGACTGGTGAAGTGGTAGTTGTCCAGGCTAGAGGTGAGCAAGAAACTAGGATGGCAGGAACACATTTTTAGGAACACCAGGACCCCCAAGTGTTGCCAGTGATCCCCCAAAACATGTGGCATTCCCATTAAGGTCAAGGACTCAGCTAAATGTTCCCAGATAATGACTTTGTGGAAGTAGCAAGATACAACCCGGGTCCTATTCTCAACAGTGCTCAGTCTGCTCCCAGAAAGGCTGGATTAGGGGTCCGAATGTCCAAACAGTGTTTCAGGGAGCTGCCAGGTGACCCAGGGCAAGTCTGGTCCTTACGCAGGACTGAATGAGGAGGAACCAAAGGGCAACTCAGAACAACCAAACACAACTGATGCTGGATCTAAAGAGGATGCTACCAGGCCCAACAGAGTAGTTCACACATGTAATCTCAACACTTGAATAGCTAAGGCAGGAGGATTGCTGTGAGTTCAAGGCTAGCCTGTACTTACATGGTAGGTTCCAGTTTAACCTGGACTAGTGTATGACTGTCTCAAAAATCATGATTTAAAAATAAGCAGGCAGGTGCTTCTTCAACCCTGGCTCTCTTGTCCTTAGAAGGCCATGTGTGTCTTTATTAGGGTTACAGGCTGAGCCCTCACAGATTTAAACATATACCTGTGATCTTGGAGCCCCAAGAACCACCCAGTTGCTGAAACTAGCCCTCCTGCTCCCTGCGTGGCTTTCAGTCCTACCCAACACAGCTCAGACCTTCAGGTCACAGTTTCCATGCTGTGTGACCCTGGGCAGATGGCTTGTCTCTCCTGTAAAAGCTGCTACTGCCTTGTGATTATGGAGTGATCATACTCATTCCCAGCTGGTGCCAAGAGCACCTCAACGCCTGCCCCTCCCAAGCCTGGCACAGAAAGTCAGGTGGAGCAGGATCCAGAGTCACCCTTGAGCTTCCTGGTCTTCTGTGGAACCAGGCAGGGCAGCCAGCCTGCAGAGGAGCAGCTGTTGGGCCACATACAAACATCAGGGTGGTTTTGGGCAGAGCCTAAGAAAAAGCCAAGATAAGCTACTTACCACTCACAGGTTGAGGAGAGAAACAGTCAGTCTCTGGTGCCCAATATGGAATCCTAGGCTAGAGCATTCCGTGGCTCTGTGCTCAGAAACTGTAAAGGACAGAGGTGGCCACCCCTATCAGTGTTCTGGGCATAGTATATCAACATGGCCTCGAGGGAGGGAACGGAGTCAAGTGACTTGAGGAGAGGTTCACTCTGTCCCTGGAAGCTTCCTAAAAGCGCTGAGAAATCCTGGGAAGGCTGGCGTGGCCACTCAGGATCCTTCAGCATGCTCACAGTAACTGTGCAGTTCTCTTGTGCACGCCGTGGTCATTTTCCCCTGAGCCATGCAACACCTCCAGGTCTCTCCACTGGACCGCCTTCATTTATCTAGGTCCCCAGAGTCTTGGCTCTACAAGGTGGAGTGACTCGCGAGAGCATGGTGGAGGCAGAGCACGTTTAAAGTACACAGTTCCATGGAGTGTGGTGGTGGAACGGGATGGGGACAAACCCAGCAAGCTGGGTGGCAGCAAGGGGCTTCCTAGCAGAGGTGGCAGCCTTGCTCAGCTGGTGGATAGGGAGGGTACAACTGTGGGCAGAACTAATAACAGGGCCCCCAGCTCCACCCTTAGTGCAGCCCTGAGGGGTCTGCAAAAGTGAGCAGTGGACAAGGCAATGAGTGCCAGAGCAAGAAGCCAACCTTACTTCTCCTGCAGGCTTTAGCGGGATGGTGGGTTTGTGCTGACCACTTACAACCCATAGTCCCTAAAGGCTCAGACTGCTGGGAAGGTACGGGATGCAGTTTTATAGGGGTAGCTAAGTTACCGAGGGAGGAACAGAAGGCCAAGTCAAGGCAGGGATCACGCCTGCTGGAGAGAGTGTTTCCCTCTAGCAGGCAAGAGCCCTGGCATCAGAGCGACACCCCAGGTCTTTCCAAAACCCAGCCTCAGGCCCCTGGGGGAAAGGGACTGCATAGCCCCTCTGAAGCTTGTTTGCATGTGACCTGGGGACCTGGCCCACCACAACCTGCCCCCCGGCAAAGCCTCACCTGGCCTATAACATGGGAGTTCTGGCTCTCGTCACCTGGAGGGGAGAAGAGAAGTTAGCAGAGACAAGCAGCCTCCACCACATGCACTCACTCTTTGGTGAGGCCCAGAGAAGGCTCTTCTGCCCCAAAGCAGCACAGGCCACCATGGAGGTAAAGAAGCATAGTGGCCCCAATAGAAGCCTTCTCCTTCCTTGGGGAAGATGTGACTGTTAGACAAGTCTCTGTGACCTGCTGGCTTACAGCTTCCCTCTTCCTCAAAGGCTAGGTCTGTCTGTGTGTCCCCTTCCAGACTTCCCCAGGACACATACCCACCAAAGGCCTCTCTATCAGGATTGGTGGGGGGGGGGGGGGTCTTGTGAGTGAGCACTTAATGATACAGTGAGGACTTCACTGTGAGGAGAAGCTGGAACTAGGGGAGTACCGAAGGGAGTATCGGGGTGGACATCATAATGGGTACAGAAGCAGCTGTAGGTAGGAGGAGCATGCCAGTGTGAGGCCCCAGCTGTGGACAGAACCAGAACTCCACAAACAAACAAGACCAGGTCTTAGAGAGGGACACAATCAATGTGTAACTGGGATCAGGGACCAGTACGTAACTCTGTCCTGGACCAGAGTTTGGAATGACCTGGATCAAGACTCAGAATAAGACAGAATCAAGACTTGGGTTCCTTGAGTGGAGAATGAGGACATGGTGGGGATCAGGGTTCCTTCTGTGGCTCTGACTACAACAGAGATGTGTGTCTATTGGGGAGGCACCATACATGCAGGGTCAGGGTTCAAGATGTAACTAGGGCAGGGTGTGACAGAGGTTGGCCTTATTGCGTTTAGGGGCTTGGGAATCGATGAATGCCAAGTCCAAAAGCGACTTGGGACAAATGGATACGTTTGGTATCTATTAGTATACCAAAGTGCATGCTGGCTCCCAGGCTGTCTTAACATCACAAGTACCTGTTACAGGGTCTATGCTGGCATCCTGTCTCTTCTCAACTCTTCTTACCCAACACCTACCCTAAACTTCCACAGCTCATGGGCTTCCCTCTCCTAGCTTCTCATTCCCTTATAACCCTGCAATTTCAACTACTTCTTTTGTCTTCCTCTCTTGGCCCCCTCTCTCTCGGTCTCCTTTGCCTGTGCTCTCTTTGTCTTCATCTCTCACTCTCCCGCACTCTCCTTCCACGGTCCAGTCCAGTCTGCTGGACATGGACGGTTTACTACTTTCTCTGTCTGCTCTGCACTTTTCCAGATGCCTCTGGCTGTAATCTCCCTCATATCTACAATAAGAACCTTGCCCTCAACCATACCACGGAGCGGTCTTACCCTCAGTTTATACATCTGGTGCCGAAACCCTTCATTTATGCAGTATGTAATTAGGATCGGGGCTCATTGTATCTCTGGGATCATGTCTCAGCGTGTAATCAGGATGCAGGCTCAGAGAGGGATCAGAGCTCTTAAAACAAAACAAACAAACAAAAACCAGTGTCTCTTTATGTAGCTCTGGCTGTCATGGAGCTCTATAGACCAGGTCAGCCTCCATCTCATAGTGATCCTCCTGCCTTTAGCCCCTGTGTGCTGGAATAAAGGTGTGAACCACCACACCCAGTAGAGCTCAATGTTTGACTAAGGTTGGGCTCGGGGTGTTACAATGAACGGGGAGGCTTCTTATGTTACGGAGATCAGGGCTCAGTGTCCGACAAGAATCGGGACTCAGTGCGGGAGCAGGTTCCAGTCTCAGAGTGTGACAGGAACTAAGGCTCGTTGACTTACTGAGTCAGTGAGCAAGTAACTTCTGTGACACGAACATCAAGGCGCAGCTCTATCCAAAGTGAGGGCTAGTGTTCTTGGAGGGGAGCATCAGGTGTTTGCCTCCATCTACACTCCCTCTTCTAGACTCGAACATTCTGAACACAGCTCCCGACTCTCTCAAGGCTCAGGATACCTCAGAGTCCCACTGCGCTATTGTGTCCCCAGTACCTCAAGAGCGTTTCTTGTCACCACAGATGGCTCTGGGGAATTTCTGGGGACGCAGGACCCTGATGGCTGGCGTCACCCTGGGACTGATTCCCAGAGGAAACGCTGCAATGTTTATTACAAGCCTTTGATTGTGTCATTCACCCAAGGCCAGAGCAGACAGAGCCTGGGGAGAATCCACATAGAAGAATCTGCCTTGTTAACTCTGGGGTCTTTTCTTCTAACATATTCTTCCCCATGTCCTTGATCCTAAGGCACAACCCATAGTCCCCAGGTGCCAGGTCCTGACCCCATACCCCCTTGTGTCCGCTGAATATCTTTCCTGCCTCTTCCCTGCCCTGGTGTCTTGGAACCATAGGGTGACAGGAAGGCCATACAGTTTACTCAACAAACACTTCTACCTAGAGGGCCCAAGATAAGGACCCTGTGTCTTGGGCAGCACAGAGGCTCCTCCTAGAAACCTCGATGTAGTTAGTAGATGTCCAGGGTACGGGTCTCTGGGACAGAAGGTACACTGGATGACCTTAGCAGAGACTGAACTCTCTGAGCACACAGCTAGAGGAGGCCACCAGCCCTGCCAAAACCCCACCCTTCAAAGTTAAGGCTGCATCAACTCTGCTAGGATAGACATTGGATCCCCAACTCCCATCTACTGGGAGATGAGACTCTGGCTAATTCTAGGTTGGGGTGGCCAGAGGGAACCTGCTGCCCGAGGCTATATGTCCAGGTCCTGAAAGTGGACAGTGTCTGAGCTGTTTACAGCAGTCAGCTAACAAGGGGGACGCAGGGAGCCAGCCTATGGGTGGGAAGGGTTTTCTTGTGCCCTGCAGGGGGGTGGAGCAGTGGGCATCAGCAATGCTTCATGTGCCGCCCTCCTCCCTGCCTCTTCCCAGAGGCTCCTTTCTCCTGAAAAACCCCAAAAATGTCCATATTTGGAGGGTCAGCCTGCTGAGGCAGGGGGAGCGGTGCTGGGATCCTGTTAACCCTTCCTCTTTAAATAAAGGGATAAATCAGAGCAGAGTTAAACACTATGGCAGAAACATAAACAGCGGGTAGCTCCAGCCCAGCCCCCTGCCCGCCCCACGCCACCCTACACGGAGTTCAGTGTTTATTTGACTCACACCGGAGGCCCGGCAGCTAGGCAGCTTCTGCTGGGACCTGCCTCCTGGCTCCAGCTCTCAGCACCCATATAGCCTACTGAGCACCCATTCTCCAGGGAGGGTCCAGAGTGGTGATCTGGAACTGGCCGGAGAAGAAGTAAGAATAGACCAAGGCCCAGGGGCTGGGGCCTTGACCATGGGTGTGGGGCAGGGGCAGGGCAAGCAGCTTCTAGTCCCCCACGTGGGCCAGCTAGTCTTTGTCCCAGCAGAACTGGTTCATCATCCACCAGCTATGTCTGCAATGCTCCCAGAGGCAATGGGATTCCAGTGGCATAGAGCAGCATAGAAAGCGCAGTAGCTAAAGGACTTGCCTAAGGAGACACAGTTAGGACACGTTAAAAGCTGCCCTGAACTCACATAGCAGCCCTGTGTGTTCTTTGCTCTGGAGTCTCATGGCATCTGAGGACAGTCCCCCATGCAAATGTTGGTCTGTCCGTCCAGGATGGTCTCAGGAACCTCAACATCTTGCTCCATGCACTATGGATAGGGTCTGGGTGGAACGGAGAGAGCTGGGTCAAACAAAAGCATGGTTTGGGGAATGCTAGATACCTGGGATGACTCATCTGCTTGCTTCCAGGCTGGGGGCCCACTGACCACTGCCATGCCCTCTGCATCCCCCACGAGGCCCTGGGATGCTGTGCCCCCCAATACCACTGCAGCAGCATGGACCAATGGAAGTGTGCCCCTTTTCCACCTGTTTGCCCAGCTGGATGAGGAGCTGCACCAAGACTTCCCCAACCTGTGGCTGGCACTAATGGTCGTGCATGGCACCATCTTCTTGGCTGGGCTAGTGCTCAATGGACTAGCATTATATGTCTTCTGCTGCCGCACGCGAACCAAGACACCTTCAGTGATCTATACCATCAACCTGGTGGTGACTGACCTGCTGGTGGGCCTGTCGCTACCCACACGCTTTGCTGTCTTCTACAGTGCCCGTGGCTGCCTACGCTGCGCTTTCCCTCATGTCCTGGGCTACTTCCTCAACATGCATTGCTCCATCCTCTTCCTCACCTGCATCTGTGTGGACCGCTACCTGGCCATTGTACAACCTGAGGGTTCCCGTCGCTGGCGCCAACCAGCCTGCGCCAAGGCTGTGTGCATCTTCGTGTGGCTGGCAGCCGGCATCGTGACCCTGTCTGTACTGGGCGTGAAGACTGGTGGACGATCGTGTTGTCGTGTCTTTGCTCTGACTGTTCTGGAGTTCCTGCTGCCGCTGCTGGTCATCAGCATGTTCACAGGCCGCATCATGTGTGCACTATCGCGACCCAGCCTGCTACGCCAGGGCCGCCAACGCCGCATGCGGGCCATGCAACTGCTGCTCACAGTGCTCGTCATCTTCCTGGTCTGCTTCACACCCTTCCACGCCCGCCAGGTGGCCGTGGCAATATGGCCCAATGTGCCACGCCACACGAGCCTCGTGGCTTACCACGTGGCTGTGACCCTCAGCAGCCTCAACAGCTGCATGGACCCCATTGTCTACTGCTTCATCACCAGTGGCTTCCAGGCCACTGTCCGAGGCCTCTTCCACCAGCATGGAGAAGAATTCAAGCCCAGCAGTATGGGTGCAGTCAGCATGCACAAGAGCACCAAGGCTTCGGGCCCCCATCAAATCCTCAGCACCGGCTCTCACACCCTCACCCAACCTCTGACCAATGGGCCTGAGCCGTAGGCAGCAAGTGCTCTGTCTAGGGACAAAGGTCAAGGCTCTGAGAGGTTACCAGTCAGTCACAACCTGGACCTGGCCAACAAGTTGACTTCCTATTGATCCATTGGATATGGCTGCCCAGTGTGTTGTATTGACAAACTGAGTCCACCGTGCTGTGATTGATTAGCAATGTCTGCCAAGGACTCCAGCTAGGGTGTACCGGTGTGAATGTCGGATGCTTGCCTTCCCTGTGGCTGTTCAGTGGTGTCCAGTGAACACTCAAAAAGGTAGCCAGGAGCTGCTTCTCACCTCCCTTATTTCTTCTCCTGAAGAAGCTCCTCCAGAGAAAGCATAAAGATTAATATTCTGAGGACACCACCAGAAAAGCCTCCACCACAGGCAGATCGAGAAACAAGAACAAGACTGTTATCTACAGGGAGTGGAGAGAACCCCTCGAGTGGCCCTGGGCTTCTGAACCATACCACAGGCCAGCAGAGCAATACAAAGTGCCCGCTGCCCGCTACGTGCCAGGACTTAGGTATCTGGCTGACACTTGGACCACTGCAACCCCAAAAGAAGAAGCTAGTTTTAGTTCCAGCCTTTCCTGTCTTTCATGCAAAGAGGGGAAGTGACACAGATGCTACCACTGGACAATGGTAGGGTCAAAGCTAAGGCCAGTCTCACAGCCTCCAGCATCCCAGCTCCTGCTTCCACGGCTACCTTCCAGACTCCTGAAGACCCTGCCCAGGATTGGTCCTGAGTCCATTGCCTGCTCCCCCAGACTCTGCAAGGCCCCACCCCAGTCTGATGGATGAAGATGCTAAGAATAAAGATATAAAGCAACTCAAACTCAGGGCCACCAAGCCAAGGCCTCTGTGTCTCCTAGGCTCACCCTTCTGGGGACCAGAGCTCCCTTGGAGATGATCCTCTGACCACCATCTCCAAGCTGGTCTCCAAGGGGGTCTCATATTTGCCTCTCTCAAGTTCTAGGCTCCTGGTGTTTGGGGGCAGGGTCTGTGGTGGAGGAGCATGCTCTGCATCACAGTCCGTGAAGCAGGTGAGGTGGGATCCGGGCCCAGATTGTGCACCAGTCTAGTGAGAAGTCTCCTATGTCCCAGGGACCTGGGACTTGAGTGGCTGAAAACGGGAGGCAATTGGAGCATGGTTGGGGTACATAGAGTTTCTAACTGTCTCCAGATAGGGTACCTATACCCAAGCTCAAGAGGACTGTGTGAGAATAAGAAAGCCAGTCAGGGACTCACTTTCCAGCCAGGAGACTGGGCTTGGGATATAACTAAATTGCTAGCTCAGCATGCATGGTACACTGGACTCTACTCCCAACAGAACACCACAAAAAATGGACAGGGTTTGAAATGAAGGCATTATGGCGGTCATGGGGAGAGGAGAGCACTTGGATAATCAGAGGCCAGTCTTGTTCCCACTAATCCCAAATAGGTTTCCAGGACATCATGAGACCACTGGGGTGGGGTGACACTGGAATTCATTTTCTGGCCAAGATGAGATGACCTAAAGTCCAGACGTCAAAGACATAACAAGAAAGACAGCGGGGCATGGTCCTGCTTGGGTCTACTTCCTGTCTGTATACCTGAGAAGCAGGGGGCAAAATCATGGCACTCTTTTTCCTTCTGAAACAGGGTTTCTCTACGTACCCCTAGCTGTTCTGGAACTCGCTCTGTAGACCAGGCTGGCCTTGAACTCAGAGATCTGCCTGCCCCTGCCTCCTGAGTGCTGGGATTAAAGGCGTGCTTCACTGTTTTACTCTCCTAACCACCATGTCCCTGACCCTCCCTAGAGTCATCTGTTGTGCCTCCTACTGAGGCCCCCTCCAAACACTAAATCATACAGGGCCAGAGACTCCAGACTCCATCCGAAGGGATCTTTCAGGTTCCTATAGGCTACTCACATCTCTCCCTCTTCCCCCTGCCACAGCCCCAAGTCTGTCTCTATAACCTGACTCCCTTCTGTGCTGAGAGCCACAGAGGCAGGGACTGCCAGCAGCAGAAAGCAGGGCCGAGACAGGGCAAGAGTCAGTATAAATAAGAGTCCAAGTCAGTGGTGGACAGGAAGCTACACCAGCCCCTTTAGCGTCACATGAACAATCCCCCCAACCTTTTCTAGCACAGGCCCCAGTCTCTCGCCCCCAACTCCACTGATCCATACCACACCAGACTGTCAGTTACCTTTGCCCTTTTTCATCCCTATCAAAACCTCCCCAATCCTGGCTCCCTGTCGTTGTCATTCCAATTCACACTACGGAGTGAATGAGTAGGCTTGGGGGTAAAGAGGAGGCAATTATTCTGGGACAGTCCTTTCTAGAAGACAGGGGTCTCAAAAGTGGATGAAGAGCCATGCCCAAGTCTAAAATAACACCGTCAACCTGGAATCCTCAGGGCCTTGGAAGCTTCTCGGGCTATAAGAACCTTTAGTGAAGGCCTTTGAGGGCCTCACCAGGAGCTTGCCACTGTTCAAGCCAAGACTGGCTGCTTTCTAAAGGGTCAAGAGCCAGGCTCAGGGCCATCTTCCCACCTCTGAGAACTCTGACAACATCTCTTACCAAGCTATGGAGCCTCAGTTTCCTCACACCTCACTCACTTCTCCTCTCCTTGGAGCTAGAAAGTGGATTCTCAGGGCATTTGACTACCTGGGGTCTGGGGGCAGGGCCAGGAAACTGACAGGTCTCCCTGGTCCTGTGAGTCCAGACCATCACCCCATTTCAGAGATATAGCAGCTAAGGATTCGTCCAGGAGGGCTCTGCTCAGGCCCATGGTGCCCAGGCTATGAAATTTCCGTGTCCAGTCTGTCTTCTCCCTCCCTGGATTTTCAAAACTCCCAAATGACGTAAACTGTGTATTTATATCCGATGTAAACAGCATCCTTCACTAGAAGTCCATGCTCTGAATTAACACTGTTTATTTTCCTTGTGCCCAGCTCGGCTCCCAGCTGGCAGTTGGGGGCTGGTGGGGGCACCCAGCCTAAAGGGACCTGTGTGGCTCCTTGCCACTCACTGTCCCGTGGAACCCCTAAGGCGGGAATGAAGAGGGAGGTGAGCAGCTAGATGCCCAAGCATCTCACCAGATCCTCAAGGGGTGACCTGGAGGCAGGGGAGCTTTGGCCCATCTGAGGCCCTACTAAATGCCTAGAAGCCATTCTCTCTCTGGCCTGAGAGGTGAGGGTACCCACCTTACTTCATTGATAGGGGCAGTGTCTGAGGGAGTTAACTTGAGAAAGTTCTCATTGGTACCCAGCTTTTGTCTCTCAAACGGCCTGTCTGGCCTTGGCCCAGGAAGGCTCAGAGGAGACAGGGATGCTGGGAGGGATGGCTGGCCGTACAAGACTCATCATTCTTCCTGTCTGGCACTGTTGAACAGCCGGAGGCGTCTAGAGGTAAATATTAGGGACTGTTTAGATTAACCTCCATTAATAGCAGGAAATGTCACCTTGGGTGCCTGCCCTGGCTTCCTGCAGGCCTGAGGCGGGGCTATCTGGTTCAAGCTGATGGCCAGCAGAGAAATGCTTGCACGAATTCCAGACCTTCCACACTTTCTCCTGAGCTCAAGGCCACCTTCTGGTGTGGGAGGGCTCTGCCTGCCACAGCTCCCTGAACCTCACTCTCACCTCCTAGGGGATCCCCGAGGCAAAGGTGCAAATCCAAGGGAAGGAGACACCACCTGGCTGATTGAAGCACCCACCTCACACCCTTTGGGCTGGGCTCCCGATTCTCAGAGGAGAAAAGTAAAGCTAGAAAAACAAGGCGACAGTGTCACCCAAAGACAGGGCAGGAACTCCCCACACAGACCTCATCCCAGCCTGGATGCACATACACGGGGACCACAGAAAATACGGACCTGGCTGAGGAGGCAGAGAACAACCACCTGAATGCCAGCACGGGTCACATGGCCTCAGCATAGACCAGGTATGGGGGCAGGGCAGAACAGGTAGAAAGCCTCCCCCCGCACAGACACACACGCATGCATGCACGCACGTGAATCACTTCTCTCAGGCACATTTTCCCTACTCCTGTGTCCACAGGACCTCATGGCCCCAGGAAGACCCCTAGACTCTTCAGCCCACAGCACTCTCCTGCCTGTGGCCCTCCTCCGCTTCTACCCCCAGTTCGGGACAGTTCTATTCACAATATTACCAATCCTACCCCAGCACCTATCCACCTGTGCCACCACCTCCCTCCTCTGCCTTGCTCCCTGAGACCCTTTGTGCCGAGACCCACTCCTTCCCAGCTACCGCAGTGATTTCTCAGCATCCTCCAGATTCCACCCTCCCCGTTCTCTACCCAGCAACTTTACATGTGTCTGTCATTAACCGCCGCTACCACCCTAAGACCTTCTGGTTCTCCATTGTCCCGCACTGTGATGTTTTCCTGTACCATGGGACTGGCAGCGGGGACCAGGCTCAGATCAGCCAGTGACAACCGTGAGTGAGTGGGCTCAGAGGAGGGCTTCGTGGCAAAGAAGGGATCTCTGCCTCCTCCCCGGTTTCCTCATCTGCACTCAGAACTCAACTGCACTGGCTCCCAGTCACAGCGTGCTGGGGAGCCTCCAGATCACCAAGCCTGATTTCTCCCCGCCCACCACCTGGTATCAGACAGGGTCTTCCATCCTCATGCCAATTATTCCTGTTCTCTTAGGCCTCAATTTCTTCTTCTGATCTTTAGTGGACTCACTCTGTCTTAAGGCGGGGTGCAAGAAGAAGTGAGTGTACCAAAGGCAGGAGGATTGCCTCAAGTTCGAGGCCACTGTAGGCTACATAATGAGACCCTGTCTCAGAAGACAAACAAACAAAAAAGTGTCTACATATATGTGTGTAGGTACATGTGTGTACATGTATGTAGATACATGCTTCTGGACGTTTGAATGTAAGTGTGTGTGTGTGTGCATGAAGCTGGGCATATATGTGAAAATATATTGTGATGTGAGCCTGTGTTTATGTACCCATGGATGTGAGTCTACATGCAAATACCTATATATGCATGTATTGCAAGCATATATGTATAATGTGTGAGTCTATGCATGCATAAGTGTAAGTCTCTGTGTGTGTCTGTGTGTGCATATATATATGTATGACATGTGAGTCTATGTATGCATGGATGTTAATCTGTGTATATATCTACATGTGCATGTATAAATGTTTATACATGTACATGTGTGAGTCTGAATATACACAAGTATAAATCTACATATATGTATGCATGTATATTTGCATATGTATAAGTCTATGTGTGTAGGGGTATAGGTCTGTGTATATGTGTCCTTGTGTACGTGTGTGTATATGATGGTAATATGGCTGTCAACCTGAAAGAATAAGGAGTCACCTGGGTGATACCATTTCCAAAGAGGTCTAATTGAGGAGGGAGACCCACCCTCAGAGTGGATGGCACTTTCCCACAGGTGGTCCATATATAAAGAGGTTTGAGGGGCAGGGGAGGGGTTGCATGTCTTTAATCCCAGCACTCAAGAGGCAGAGGCAGACAGATCCCTGTGAGCTCGAGCCAGCCTGGTCTACAAAGAGAATTCCAGGACAGCCAGGGCTACACAGAGAAACCCTGTCTCAACAAACCAAGAGTGGGTTTAAAGGTGTTAGAAAGAACACCTCCACGATCTCACTAGACCAATAGGAAGGGTCTCTGTGGACCAGCTCCCACTTCTGGTACCAATTCTCTTTGTTAGTTCTTTGTTAGTCCCTTCCGTTGTTGCCACAGCTTAATACCTGATAAGAAACTAAAGGGGGCTGGTTAAGTGGCTCAGTGGGGACAGCCGTGGTT